ACGTTATGGAAATGTAATATTTTTTATGTACACTTAGCAGAATGCGAAAATAAATGTCCGTAGCATCAGGTTAATACGCTATTCCCACTGCAGCACTCCCACGTTGCCAGTTGCAGCACCGATTGAAAAACTCGGTGTTGCCAAATTGAACGTTTTGTTTAAATTCATACTTACTGAAATCTGAAATCTTACTACATTAATATATAGGATAAAGTATTGATTTTACAGTCTAATAACCTTTCTGTTTTTATAGACTTATTAGAACTTTTTGTTTGGTACTGTTTTCAGAAATTAATAATAATGAAATAATATAGTAAAATAAATAATATTTTGTAACGTGTTTTATATATAAGCGAAAAGTTCATAAAGCGACAGCTTATACAAGCCAAAATTAACGTATTAGTTTTAATCAATTCAATTCAAAAAATGGGTCATTTAGTCGTAGAATAAAATATTTATTTATTATTAAGTCCAGAAGGTAAACATTAAGCGACAATATGGTATGTTACGATAAATTCCCACACTTCAGTTAGGTATTTACTTATGGTTTTAAGTGTCTTTTTATTGCGTATAATACTGTTTGCTTGTTCATCGAATTATATGTAATGGTGAGCTTGGGCGTGTCAAACTATATATTTAAATAGCCTTTGCATACGGAATACAACCCTTCTTCTGCTTCTTAAATTTAAACACAACTCGTAATGTCTCTCGTTTGCCGCCTCGGCCTCCCTTCAAGTATACTTCATATACTTTTGAAGTTCAAATGCAAAATATAATGTAAATCTTATGCGTCTATCATGTCGATTATCGGTAGATTAGTTTAAGTATAGGCTACATTTAAGTTGCTTTTGATATGGGCGAGAAGTTGTCGACTGCACGAGAATGGCCAAGAATAGATGCTTATTAGATATTGCACAAATTAAATAGGTAAGACGTTACAAAAGAGGGCAAACAACATAATAAATTAAATTTAGATTCTCTTTCCTTTTTGCCAACATAATTTAAATATCACAGACGTTTTGCCAATTGTTTAACTAATTTGCCGTTTTTGCTTGTTAATTTTGCATGCCAAATAGGGAAACCCAGAGTGGGAGTGGTGAGAATGAAATTATACGAATCCGACCGCAGGATTCGATACATATGTATACCTAAATGTCAGTCAAATGTGAAAATTAAATCAAGTCTTGTGTTGAACATGGCACATAATTGCTAAAAGGAAATCTGATGCCAAGCCTACGAGGGTAAACTGCTTTACTTATAATCTAGGCGTATTTTAGCGGGTAATTACTACTCCTGGAAGATTGCTGAAGTGGGTGCATGCGGAGATATTGCATCATCCCACGCCTAGTGCATGTTGTCTACTCTGCCTGAAGGGAGACCCAAGGCGGCGCTCAGATTGAGTCCTGGTGGAACACCGACTCCAACGCCCACTCCCACACCCACGCCCACTCCGGATCCCACGTTGCCCTCGCTTTCGCTTTTCCAGGAGGACACTGGTATGTGGGGAGCGGGCAGGCAGTTGCGCAGCGTCTGCACGATCTGAATGGTGTCCATGAGGGCTGGGTGGGAGAAGGAGGAGAAGAGAGAAGCAGGAGGAGTCGGTCAGTATATAAAATAGCTGGTGCACAGAACCGGTTCCCAGTTTTGTACTCACTCTTCTGCAGACTCTCACTCTGCTTTCCGTAGGGCTTGCACATAGACGGACGTATGTAGGTCTTCATCCGCGACATGTTCCGCATCAGCTCCGCGAAGATCCGAACTATCTTGTCCTGGCCCACGGCCAAGTGGTCCATGCGACTGGCGTCGCCGGTGGCCCAGGCCCCATTGTGTAGCGCCAGCAGATCCTTATTTGACTCGATAGAGTCCAGATTAGAGCTAAGGTTAGAGAAAATTCAGCAATGTAACGAGAAATTTGATACCAGGAGTTTGTTTTGAACTTTCTAGCATTCAAAAAAACTCAAGTAAATAATTTGTAAACTAAATAGTTAATTAGTTAAGCTGAAAATAAATCTAAATTCAAGATAATACTGGGTATGCTCATACAATTTTAATAAGAACCCAGCCTTACCAAAAATTCTCTTTTAAACTGTTGGTAAATGTCTAAATTATAATTTAGTTCAATTGTATTCTGTTCGGAAAGTGAATTGTTTTTTTTATATATTAATCTTTCAAAGGGTAAAGGAAACAAATTATGGACTTGAGCATTTCACTTACCGTAAGGAGTCGGCCACGTTCTTGTGGGTAATCTGGTCCAGCGAGGAGTGAGAGGAAGACGAAGAGGACGAGTGCGGTGACTGCGATGGCGGCGGCAAAGAATGGTGGCCATGGTGGGTCTGTGGACCGGCTGCAGCTCCTGCTCCGGCGGCAGATGTGCTTGTGGCCGGTGGTGGCTGCTGGTTGGCGGCCACGGCGGCTGCCACTGCCTGTGATTGCATCAGACCCTGGATCTGAAGATTGGCGGCCGCTGCCGCCACGGCCATGGGATCAAAGTGCTTCGGGTCTAGCTGGGCGAAGACGCGCTGCTTTTCCAGCGGACTCAAGTGGTTGCTTAGCTTCTCGAGACTCTGCTGGGCGAGGACGCGGTTCTGCTGTTGGATTAGGGCCGCAGTCAGTTGCTGCTGGTGCTTGGCTGCTGCCTGCTGTTGTTGTTGCTGCTGCTGTTGTTGCTGTTGCTGCTGCTGTTGTTGTTGCTGCTGCTGTTGTTGTTGCTGCTGTTGCTGTTGGTGATGGGCGGCAGCAGCGCTGATCTGGGAGAGCTGCGTCTGGATGCTGCTCTGCTGCTGCTTGGTCAGATGCTGCAACTGCGGGGGCACTGGCACCTGAGGCACCTTGGCGCCCGTCGACTTGGATAGATCGATCTCCACGTTGGCCGAACTGGAGCTACTTGCCACACTGGAGGCGGAGCCGGCGGCCGAGCCGCCCGGTCCGGACCCAGCTGTTCCGCCCGGCGGCAGGTGGGACAGACGCTGCAGGAACTCTGGCGTATTCACGCCCGGGTACTGCTGCTCCATGAACGGCATGGGTGAGATGCCCATGTGGTTCTTGTAGTAGCGACATGCCGGACTGGGGCACGACTGCACCACCTCAATGATGAACTCCTTCTCCATGCCGAACTGATCCCGTCCGATGGTGTAGGACTCGATGACAGCCCGCACCGTGGCGTCCACACTCAGGTGCAGGCCATGCGGCCCAGACATGTGCTTCAACATGACAGCATTGGCGAAGTGCTCGAAGGGCAGCACAATTTTGCCATTGTCGCGCAGGATCAGACGTCCCTGGGAGTCCAAAGTGAGGCGATTGGCCAGGACCCTGTCGGATACTGGCAGTTAGGAGTGTTATCAACCACGACCCAATCTCTACTTACTGAAGATAGGCCGCGCTGGGCAGCATGGCGTTGTCCTTGAGATCGCTGAAGCACTGCAGCAGCTCGGCGCTGGGATTCCAGCCCTTGTTCTGCAAATACAGCTGCAGCAGCATGTACAGCTTCTCGGTTACATAGCCCACGCCTGGCATTCCGGCATTTGGCTGGGGCAGCAGATCTCCGCCTGCCACGCCCCCGCCACCGCCACCGCCTCCCGGTCCTTTGGACAGAGCCGCCTTCATGGTCTCGGACAGATCCAATTTGTAGTTGTCGGGATAGAAGTGCTTGGCGTGGTCCTGCAAGGATGGAATAGTGGGTTGATTGATTGATACACACACTCAGACATGGGGGACACCCGCTTCCCCCGCCCCCGGCCCCGCCGCCGCTGCCGCCCACTCACCAAATTGTTCATTTTCGTCTGGGTCTGCGGATGACTCTAATCTGTGTGGCGCCAGCGAAGCATCCTGGATTCGAACGACCAACGGCTGCTGGGGATTGGCACTCACCCGTCGGCTGGGGGACGAGACTGGGCTGACTGGCGGCCACGGATCGGGGGAAAAAACTGTATGTGTCCGCCGTCTAATTGTCCTTGCAAGGAAGTGGGGGAGGCCAGCAGTGTGACCGTCGCGCGGCTCAGCCAAAAGCCCTAAAGTTGCAATTTAAAGCCAATAATAATAATATTTGCTTGTCTAAGAATGTGTTTAAAACCATAAAGTTTAAATAAAGGCATGTGCCAATTATGCTGAACTACATTTAGTATTAGTAAACAAAAAAACCTATAATAAAGGAATATTTTGTCATGTCTCATGTGGTTTAACTTTAAAACAGAATTAAAAACATAAAACAAAAACCATATTTATATATTTTTAATTTTTAAAAAAAACTACTGCGTACATACTTTTAATTTAAAAGTTTCTTTAAACGCATACTTTTTTAAATTAAACTTAGTACAACTAAAAAAAACAAGATTTTTAATTTATTGCGTAAGGCAAAATATGTACCTACCTATGTAAATTCTTTCTCCCGCGTTTTATTGCAATATTAGGAAAAGCTACAAAAATCCAGAAAATCCAGTGTCCTTTGTATGGAAATTTTAATATTACTATTTAGCCAGAAGGTGCGATATTAAAAATACAAATGCGTTTAAGTGGCTAAGAAATTCCTTGTGATGAATATTTAATATTAGTGTGTGTACAAATTATTTAATAACCTCACGGTTTTGACCGGTCATCACGTTGAATTAAATTTCAAAAATAGCCCTTGCCATATTTACCCAAATCGTATGCAAAATGCTAAGAAAGTAATGATGGCAATCACAATTTTGAGCACGCAAAGTGCTGAAACTTATAGGAAAAGCCATTGGGGGGCACGATAATCCCAGGCGTAACAAGTCTCGGCGACTCATTACACTAGATGTGGTGGCCTCCTGGTCCCGGAATTTCGGTCGAGGGAGCAACCACCTGGGCCAAACCTCCGGATAATAGCCATTTTGCATGCGTGCCCGGCAAAAGTCCGGGGGTTGGGTAGCCATAGCAACCCCGCTCCCACCACGAGTCCACTTGTTTACTTGCCTTCCTGTAAGCGCCTTCCAGGTTGCAGCTGCAATCGATGGGGTGTTCAGTATCCTTTTGAAGTTTGGCGCAGTGGCAACGGAGAGAGCTGAAGCTCAGGAAATCAGAACAGGAACACAATGTCCTTCCCCGGAGTCACTAACTGGTGCTCTATGCTCCCTTGGATTAGCCTTCTTATTCAAATTGCCAACTGCTCGCTGGCTAATCCTACGCCCAATCCCGCGCAGCTGCCAACGCCACACACTTTCCGCTTCCAGAATCCGCTGCAGTGCCTCAAGAACGAGTTCTACAACCTCAACCTATTCGACTGTGTGCCCTGCAACGAGGTCGTACCTGGAGACGGGGGTTTGGGAAAACTGCAGCCCGACAGTGAGTGGTAGTATTGATCAAACATGGCTAAGAAGGGTTGGCAACCGAAGGGGCAAGAAACTGCATGGCTACCCAAGCAAAACTATGGCCGTTAACCCCCAGAAAGGCCCTCAGTTTTTGGGTCACTTACGTCTTCGGAATACTTTGAAAATATGATTTTATGGAATTAAATTCTAATTCTAAATTTTATTCCTACCTTCAGGTTTTAGTTTTTGACTAAAAATTAAGAAGAATGAAGGAGATTTTATTAATATGTTATTCGAGAGTATAGATGATTGAAAACAACAATCTTTGAATTTAGTCAAATTCTAGATTTTAGAAAAGCTTTAAGCAGGAACCACTGGATTATATATATTAAAACATTTGTTCTCTAATGCCCTATCCCCATTCCAGAATTTTCTTGCAAGTGTCCGATTGGCCACCTATCCATCTATGAGCGCGGCAAGACTTGGCCCACCTGCGACGAGATTTGCACCCCGGACAGGAACGACAACTGCACCTCGGTGTGGCTTCCGCAGCCACGTCCCTCCTCCCAATGCAGTTATCGGTATCTCAACTCAACGTCGGTCTTTGCCAACCAGTTGCCGGTGCATCCGCTTATTTCCGGGATTATCCTGACCAGGACCAATCCGTCGAACAGTGGGGGCGATTGCCATTCCTGCGAGTTGGGTCACAATTTCCGGTACCAGGACTTCTGCCTGGCCAGTACCCTGCTCCGGCCGTATCTGCACTACAACGCCTTCTGGCAGGCCACCACCAACGCCAGACCGGATTCGGGGTCACCCAGCCACTTTGGTGACCTCAAGTTCGTGGCCTTCTTCTGCCTCACCCTGCGGAACGACACGGCCTGCCAGCAACTGGCCAATCTCTGCGTGCTCTCGCACTTTTCGCTGGAAAAGCACTCGCCCTGCAGCGCCTTCCTGCTCACCCAGGTCTCGGATGTGGTGATGAAGTATGCCCACTCCGGCGAGCAGGTGCGCTCCCTGCAGCCCTTCCTCTTCTACAAGAAGGGTCGCTCCACCAAGGAGTTGCTCTCGAAGACGCTCCAGATGACGGATCGCCAGGAGCTCCGGCTGTTCAGCACGACCTTTGGCCTGGATGGAGGACTCAAGCGGTGGGGTGCCTTTCACCCGGAGATGCTCAACATGTGCCCGCAGGCAGCTCCAAATCTGCGAGTGGCTCTGCCCAAGCAGGAGTCGCAGGTCTCCTGTCAACTAGCCCTGGACCGGCTCATTGATCTGGCCAACCAGAGGGCCAACGATGAGTTCCTCACCGTTTACCTCAACTTCAGCAGCAACTGGCAGTTCCTGCTTCACCAGCTGCCCGTGCTCATCGAGAACCTAACGCCGGAGAATCAGGTGCCCACCTTCAATCGCTTCCAATTACAATAGGGTATATAACTTTCCTTTTCTTTTAGAGATCCCAGCCGGAGGAGTGGCAGCTGGTGAAGCGGTTCCAGCTCATCTCGGCCGCTCCGCGGGACAATCGCCTCCACCAGACATTGCCGCGCTACGAGGATGGCCACAAGCTGCAGCTGTACTACTCATTGCGCTATGCGGAGGACATAGAGCTGCACTACACCCTGGACAGGGATCAGCCCGATAGGGTGGGTCTGCCGCTCATCCGCCTGCGTTACCGTCACATTGAGATGGGATCGGGAAATGCCTCGCTAAGCCAGCTGTATCCGTTCCGCTTGAGGATTAGCTACGAGCAAGTGAAACGAGGATGGGACCGGTTGGTTCTGGAGGTGGCGATGCCCCTGCTCCTGTTGCTGGCGCTCGCAGCGGCCGTCTTCCGGCTCCAGAATCTGCGGAGGAGAAGAAAGACGGATCTGTGCCAGTTAAGCAGCCTAATGGAGCTCCTGCTGCAGCTGGCCGGGAGTGTGGCCTACGCTCTACTGGCCACGGCCCTGCTGCTTCTGCTGCTGCAGGCCTCCAGTCCACGCCTGCTGAAGCTACTGCTCTATCCCGCCAGTGGGCTGCAGTTGCTCTTCCTGGCCGCCCAGCTGTGGCGCTCCAGCCAGCTGGAACTGTTCCTCATCGACTGGGAGCGGCCGCGGAGCAGCTGCGAGGGCCAGCGCCTGAACCTGGACAGCTCCTCGCTGTGCTCCAGTGTGCGCACCTTTGTCGCCGAGAGCAGCGTCTCCGCCTGGCGGGTGCTCTTCACGGCCAATGCCTGGATTCGCCTGAGTGTGAGCCAGAGGTACTCCACCTTGGGTCAGGTGTTTGTGCTCATCGCTGGCTATCAGTTGCTGGAGCGGTTTACCGGCGATCTTGGCCTGCGCTGCTGCTTGATAGCCGCCCTTTACCTGCTCACCTATCTGCTTCAGTTGATAGGCCACCGCCTGCTTGTGGCCAATCCCCTGCAGAAGTTCATCGACCTCTGCAGTCTGGCCAACATCTCGCTGTTCTCGCTGACGGAGCCCGGCTTTGGCTACTACATTCACGGCCGATCCCCACACGGCTTTGCCGACACGGACATGTCCTCGATGATACTGCAGCTCCAGAGGACCCAGACCATGTCGGGGCGACGGGGATTGCTAATGGACTCGGACAAGCAGGCCTACATCATCCTGCCGCCCAGGAATCTTCAGTGAGTTTGAAGGCTGTCCCTAAAGCAAAGTGTAATCTTTGAATTGGTTATCCTTATAGCATCTACCTGGAGCGGCTGCTGCTGCCCTTCCAGCGAAGCCTCACCGGCAGCCTGTCGCAGACCCTTCTCTACCAGAAGGACATCGTCCCCAGCATCGATGGCCAGATGGAGCGCACCTCCATTGCATATGCCAGTGTCAATCGATTCTTCTGCGCCTTCATCGATCATGTAAGTCAAACTGAACGAATAAAAAAGAAATATCACACACAAATTTAAGTTAGCAAGTTGATTGGCGAATCTAAGAGGTATAATACATACATCTACAGAATTATTAGACCAAATACCAAAATCTGGGTCACAGTTCATCAAAAGGACCGCGGTCATCTACAAAAAAGTTGAACCAAGTAAATTTGTACACTATTTAAATTTACTTTTAAAGAAAAAATCAATAATATTTTCCAATTAGAATGAAAAACATTCCTATGATTTAGGATATAGGATATAGGATTTTATTTATATTCCAATCGGATGTTTCCATTTACGATGAAACATATGTTTAAACCACACTAATTTTTAATTTAGTGTTAATATAAAATTAGCTTTGTAAATTTACTCGAATTACACTTGATTATTTACCTTTAAAATGTTAATTACGAATGTAATTAATTACTATTTTATTAACCCTAGTTCTTAGACCCTTTCTGTTGTTAGAAAATTAAGAATCAAATTTTTTTAACTTAAAAATAACAAGTTTTTTTTTTGATAATCATTTTTATTTGTTATATTGTTGCGTGACAGGCCATCAAGGACATGGACTATATAATCAAAGAGAAGTCCTTTGTGGAGCAACTGCTTAACTGCGAAATCGACAACTACATTACGGAAAGTGAGTAGTTATATATAAAGTTTCGGTCCTGCAGACTAAAGATTATTTTTATGTTCCAGACAAGGGTACCTTTTATATCGACGATTCGTTTGGCTTCTCCCGCGTTCTCCTGTTGGGAAACCATTTGCACATCTTTGTGCTGGAGCTGCTCCTGCTGCTGTCGATTTTCCTGATGACCTCGAACCTGTTGATTGCAGCTGCTGCAGCTTGTGTGTTTAATATTGTAGGATGCCATCTCATACAATTTATATTCCTATCCGATTAATCTAAACCATTTATTTTAGTTGCTCCGCCAAGTGTTTCGCCATTGGGTGCGTCGCAATGTCTCCCGTAAAACACTCATCGACGAAAGATTCCTCTTGTAGCCACAAGGCGAGGAGCAGTATCTGCGGGACGACGGTTTCTTTGCCATATAAGTAATATCAGATCAGTACATAAATTGTTTTTTATTATTTTATAATCCACTCGATAGTAAGTAGTACATCCATATACAGTGGTTAATCTTTAGTTATCGTAAAACTTACGGCTAAAACAGATAAAATAATTTCCATAGTTTTACATTTAACACACAAACATTCGCAGATGCTATGCATGGTCTACCATTGCTCGCTTTAGTTTTCTGATAGGATAGCACACATTGTAGTCCATTGGGAACGTCGTACAAACACCTATGCATGGCTATATAATTTCATCAAAATGTTTCCGTCCCCCTATCGTCCCTATTGTGGCGCCGCCAGTAGTAGTAGCCGTTTTATCATCTAAGTTAGTTATATTTTGTTTAGTTGTCCAGTGCGGATTCTGTTCGTGTCTGTTCTTTGTGTCTTGCATTGAAAACATTTATGAAAATATCGACCCTTGCTGATTTGGTTTTATTTTACTTTCAATCCGACCTCATATAAAACTAAATATACGCTCGGTTAAGGATAATTGCTTTATATGAAAAGGTGATTCTATGTCGGAAATATGTATAGATCAATATGTACACCGCCTGCGGGAGTTGCATCCCGCCGATCGATTGGTAATAAATAGAGCTTCTCACTCCTTACAACTACTGAATGCTATTACGTCAAACGTACGACATCCAAACATCTATGTTTTGCTTATCCGTAAGTTATGGGTTTGATTCATCTGCGGAACTTAGACGGCTAGAATGCAGCTAACTTATTTCAAGTGTCTTCTTACGTGGTATACGAATGTATGCTGTTCTTGGGATGAGCAGGGGCTTGTTCTTTCTAGGTCCTACTGATGGATGGTTAGCGGTCAATAAATATCGTACATGTCAAATTCGAAGTAAATGTGTTTAATTTAATGGTAATAATAATTAGTTTATGAATATTGGGTAGTTTGTTCATCTTATTGTTTTTCGCTATCACAAAAGTAAATACAACTCCAACAGAGATGGGTCAGAACGGGGTCTATCTCAAATACAAATCGGTTAAAATAAGGATGACGATTTCACTCGAACTTGAACACTTACGGCTAATTTTAATCTCTACTGGTTCTCTACAGAGGGGTATACATATTTATAGTTATATTTATATTTATATTTATATCAATGTTTATGGATATTCAACACTTAGAATTTAGCTAAACATATCTCATTTCAATTATCGATCGCCCAAGAATTCAATTTATTCCATTGTACGTACAAATAAAATCATATCAAATGACTTGCTTGGCTTTACTATTTACAGTTGATTTATCAATATGTCCAGACACAGAAGTTCAAACGACTCAACTACTTTCTGCATGTGTCTCAAGTTTTTTGGGAAAAGCCTACGGTTCGTTCTCTCACCACAAAGCCTACGCTTAAGAAGGATTCGGACGTTTAGCTTCTGTGGATTGGTAGCGTCTACAGACCAAAGGCGGCGGCATATGCGTGTAGAAGCTGCAGCACATAGTCGGCGCTCTCCTGGATGACATTGCTGCCCAGGCTTTGCGGCCTCTGCGGCATCTCCAAGTCCAACTCCTCCAGAAAGTCAGGCAATTGCTGCTGCCCCAGCTGTTGCTGTTGCTGTCCCGTCTCCGCCGGCTGCTCCCCGTCTGTGCCCTTTGCGCCGGGCATCAGTTCGTTCTATTCGTGCACCGACCGTCGCGCTCTCTTGGGCGGCAAGCAACCTCCATCGCTGTCGCCCAACGACGCCGATCCGCAGCTCTTCCGTCCGTTCTCGATGGGCGAGGGCGAGCCAGTCGCATTGACGCCCAGCAGCGCCGGCGAGTTGGAAGTGCTGCCCTTACCCAGGTGTTTGCTGCCCTCGAATTGCGGCAGCCACTTGGCCAGCTGCTCCTCGAAGAAGTTCTCCAAGTATTTGGCATTGGAGTAGGTTTTCGTGTCCTCCTGGCCGAAAATTCGGGCATTAGTAGGGATCGCAAATGGGGCTGCATCAATAGTCACCCTCACCTGATAGAAGAGGTATGTGTTGGAGAAAATCAGACGCACGTCGGACACGAAGCCAGCAATGTCCTTGTAGTGGTTGGGACTGGAGGGATCCAGGCGGGTGCGAATCACATCCAGCGACATGGGACTGTAAATTGGGAATTTAAATATATAATTTAAAGTTGTAAGCATTAAGAGACCAACAGCAATGTAACGTTGAATTTTACCTGGAAACAATCTCGTAGTATGATGTGTTGGCCGGAGACTCTGGCTCCCGGAAGTTGAGACTTTGCTCGTACTGGCAGTACAGCTCCAGGCAGATGCGCTGCAGAATGCGCAGCTCCAGGGCACTCAGCTCGTTGGAGGAGCCCTTCTCACTGCCCTCCGTCTTGGTCAGCTCCTTGAGGTTCACGCACAGCAGGCACTGCCAACTCTCGCTCTCGTCCGGCAGAGAGCTGATCGCGGGGATGTGGCAGTTCTGGTGGAACACCTTCGGACACTTGTCGCAGCACATCAGCTCGCCTCCGTCCAGGCAGACGGCGCACCAGTCCTCGTTGGGATCATCTTTTTGTTCGTTTTTATTATTAACTGATATGATTAGTTTGGGGTTCGCATTTATGGTTCGGATGTGTGTTCATGTGGGTGTGTCGTGTATGCATTTATTGTTGATTAATTCGAGTTGATTTGAGTGTGTTGGATTTGGAGTTGGAGTGTTGGTTTTGAATCGTTTCAATTGTTAGTAATTTATACGTGTCGTTCGTTTATTGCGCATTTGCGTTTGGATTTTATTTGGAAAACGAGTTTATTTTCGGAATGTTTGAAAATAGAAATAAAGAGAGCAAAGTTATGAGAATTTTAGAATTTTATTTGGTAAGCCAGCAAGCAAAACTAATGGTAACAATGCAACGTAGCGTACCCAACCACAGACAAGTCTCAAAATAAATGAGAAATTGACCTTCACCAGAGTCTAAAGTCTAAAACTAAAGCGGATTAACGTCTAATGGTTGAAACATAATAGGCAGGTAACAACAAGCAGCTAACCACTCAATGAATTTCCTCCACCTTTTTGGGAATGACTCGGGCATGAGAGCATCAGCAACTACAACGCCACACGCACATGGAGCACATGAAGCACTTGGAGGCGGTACTTACCTTCCTGCGTGTTCGACAGATCCGTGGAGCTGTGCACCTGCGGTGAGGTGGTCTTGGTGCGACCCTCCGGCAGCACCTGCACTCCATTCGAGTCCAATTTGGCTATGGTGGCAATCAGATCGTTGATCGAGTCATCGCGCACCTTGTCAATGGGCTCGGTGAAGTCCTTGGTGTTCTATAATAGCGAAAGAGATTAGCCAACCAACTCAATTTTGAGGTGTTCTATACCACCCACCTCATGAGTGCTGGGACTGGGCGTCTTTGGATTCGTCGAGGTGACGTTTGAGAGTATCGAAACGGCCGGCCCCAATCCCAGGGCAGCTGCGTTCAGTTGGGCACTGGAGGAGCCGTTGCCGAGGCCCGGATGACCCGCACCACCGCCCCCCAGGCTGGGCGGGGTGCTGTTCTTGAGCGTGTTTGGAGATTTCAGTGAGATTTTAAAATTTTCCGATGTCTGGCGGCCATTCGCAAAAGGCAAAAGGGGGCCTTGCTGTGTACACACTAAAAATGGGAGGCAACTTTATCAATGGTTTGTTTATTATTTTTGAAATAATAACGTAACTGCTGTTTAAAATTAAACTTTTATTTTCGTTGAGATATATTAAATCTTATAATAATACAGATTGTGTAAATATATGACTAAACTAACTAAAGTAGTTTTAACTAGCTAATCATAACCGCATTCCACAATTGTGAATTATGAACCGAAACCTTTTGAATTTTATAATGTTTATCTTGGACAAGAGATAAGATTAACGTTGTAGTGAAATGCTGTCTTTATCAAATATGTTGATAATTTATAGAATGCATATTTAATTTTTGAGTAATTTATACTGTCTAGTTTTTGTTAAATAAATAAACTAAAAACAGTAAGATTGGGTAAGTTCAATTACTCACTGTTCGACTGCTGCGCGGATTGCGGGATGTGCCACTTGGCCAGACTGTGCATGCCTCCGCCGCCTCCTAGCTGCGGGGAGGTCTGCGGTGGGCCGGCATTAAAGCCAGCCTGGCTCCCATGAAACCCCAACGACTGTGGAAGACAGGTAGTTAGATGGTACATTGTTAGGGCTCCGTTTTTTCCATTGAGAAGTTTCGCTTTGAGGACTTACATTCTGCATGGCACTCACATTCTGCATGGGGTTCGACATCATCTGGGGTCGCTGCAGTGCACCCGGCGAGGGGATCTGGCCGCCGCCGCCCCCCGCCGCTCCGGCCATGGCCGCTGCTGCCGCCGCCTGCTGGGCGTGGTTGGCCATGCGTTGATACTGGAAGCGCGCATTGCTGCTCATAAAGTTGGTGTCCCGCGGACCGCCTCCTGGGCCACCGCCCTGCGAGAAACCCTGCTGGCCGGGCATGAAATGCGGACGCATCTGGGGGCCCATCTGCTGGTGGGCCGGCGCCGGAGCTCCCTGCGGCCCACCCGGATAGCTGGGCGGCCCATTGAATGCCATGTGGGCGTTGGGACTCTGCGCCGCCTGGTTGTTCAGCAGGCCTCGCAGGCTGATGTCTGAAAATGCGCGAGCAGAAAATTAGTTTTCCATCTTGGTGCTTGGTGCTTGGGACTCCGCCCATGGCACCACCTACCCATATTCTGCGGATGCGTGGAGGAGCTCACGTGAGGCTGGCCGTGCCGCTGCATACCCACTGGCGGCATTCCCCCGAAGCGAACTGCAACATAGACGAAAACCCATTAAAAAGCTGTGCAAAAAATTATAAAAGCAATTGCCTGGCAGGAGGTAGCGTCTTTCTGGGAAAACATGCCTGCTCACCGAAGCACCTGATATATCACTTAATCATTTGAAATAACAATGGAAGCTTGGCTTCGGCGAACGAAGCTCAAAACACCC